TGTACTAAAGTAAATTTTGGTAAGCTAATCATGCCTAGTATCAGGTTGGTTAGAAGCATTCTTCCAAGCTCTTATGTTGGATGTAAGATTTTCCACACAGATACCTAAGAAATTGTATGGGAAGGGAAATCTTGGTAAAGTTTCATGCATAAGTATGCTTCCAGCCAAAAAAATGGGACAGCTTTCCAAAATTCACTTTAAGATACTCATGAAAACAACTGAACAGTTTTTTAAAAGCAAAATTGTAATTCCATATAGTATTAATTACTTAAATACTTTTTCATTTCAGTATATCACAGGTCTCTTTAAATGTCTCAAGTTAACTTATATGCATCAGCATTTAATTAATCCAGATGATTTATTCCGTATGACTACCAAAAAAATATCATATAATGAAAACTTAAAATTTAAGTATGAATTGATGCATAACTTGTTGACATAATTAAACTTATTAAAAGTATTCATTTTATTTATTTTTTTTTCCAAATATATGATCCAAAATAGCATGGGAAAAAATGACAAAATCTTTCAGTCTAATGATGTTTTCCCTCTTTGCCCTTTCATGAGCTGCATCATTTAACTAGACAATTACAAAAGAAAGAATTTTCTAATGAATACATACATGCATAATAACTAATCACTCGTAAACAATAACTAAAAAAGTATGCATATTTGCTTACTCATAAAAGGGTAAAAATGAAGGACCTGATTCCTCATTTTGAATGTATCATAGGCTAAGGTTATGTGCTTCCCAGGTTGGTTAGACAGCAGGTAAATTATACATTTTAATATAAACTAAACCTTCAGCTGACGTTAGTATTTATGATTATTTAGGTATTCATATATATGTGTGTTAATGTGTATGTATGAAATTAATATTTAGGCATTTACAGAAATGTATTTTGTATGTGTCCTAAAGATTATATGTATGGAAATGCCTACAATTGTTTTATGTTGTTCTTTGTTTGTCTTCTGTTTAGTTCTTGCTAGTGGACAGATAACTTTCACAATGTAGTAAAAGCAAACACGTAAGGTACCATCTAGTTCTGCATTTTCTTATAGAAATATTGGCCATTGCTTTTACAGTTAGTGTTTAAATTTCATTATAAGAGAGCCGTAATGCTAGCTGTTAGTTCTTAGGAATTTCACATTTGCACAACTTTGATATTTTTGCTTTCAGAATTTTTTGTGTTATATGGACTTTTGCTTTACTTCAGAAACCATGTATTTCTTGGTTTTCATGATGTAGATTTAGGAATAATTTTAGCATTACTGATAGTACTCTCATGACTGACTCCTATGTTATTGCTAGTACTAATATCAAGCATAACATATGAAAATACCTGTATTATAAATTTATATCATAAAAATACCACCTCTTATGTCATAGTTTTCATATCTCTTGTAAAAACAAAGGTTTGAGTATCATGTGTTAATTTGTTTATGCATTTCTAATTGCAAATAATGATGTTATTTGTAAAAGAATCTCAGAGGAGGTGGAACTGAATTAGATTTGTTAATTCATAGACGTCAATAGAAAAAAAATGTGAGATTTTTCTAATGATATTCAATTGATATACTTTGTATCACTCTCAAGTATGAATAGTAAGTACTTTTTCAGAATATTTAGTATTGATGTGTGCCTTAATTTTAGCCAAAGAATTGTTTGTATTTTATTTTTCCATGACTTGGAGATATTTTAGAAGCGTATTAGGGAGATTAGATCTTCCCCAATATAGAACATATGGCAGTTATGTATCAGTTGTGTGAATAATGCTATTGTGGCATTTTAATTACACATTTGAGGTATTGACAAAACATAATAGTTTACATTTTACAAGCTATTTTCATGACACCTCAGTCAGTGATATAGAGGGGGTAGTCTTTTTATATATCATCTATTTTTCTGATTGCAAATCATAGCAAGAACTTTATGTAAAGAGTGTGTTGCTTGCTTTCAAATGATAGGCAGGAAAACTTTTGTATGGAACTTCTGTAAATGTTCTAAATTTGTCATAAATTTTGTTTTAAAGAAGAAAAAAAGGGTTGGAAGGGTTGTTATATAATAAGCCTGTTGTTTATTTTATTGCATATAGAATGTTATTAAAATATAGGGTTATAAACTTGGCTTATATAAAGATATTGTTACTAAAAATGTTTATATATTTTTTTATTCAAAATTTGTTATGAAATAATCATTTTTTTGGTGCTCTCTTTATTTATCTTTATTTATTTTTCAGTCTCTAAATTTTTATAATTTTTAACACAAGTTCCTTTGTATTTTTTTTTGATAAATTGATTAATATATATGTATAAGGCTTCTGTTATTTGATGTGCATCTTTCAACTTAAACTCCACGCATCAGCAATACTGTTCACTCATCTTCTGTAGTTGTGTGGTCGTTGTTTGTTCCAACCTGTATAACCTAACTGACAGATGGTCAGTTTAATCTTAAATATAACTGGGTAAGTCAAATGCCAATCTGTTTTTTATACTGTAA